TATGTAGGCCTTAGTTCTGTGCCTTTGGGATGTAAATTTTCACCTAAACCCTGTCTTTGGAAGTGCAAATTTAGGGTTGCCACGCTGACTGTTATTTAGAGCAATGGAACAGGTAATCAAGAGATTTATAATCCAAGGGGGGAAAGAAATTTATAAAAACTGACAAATGAAGTAGCTTATAAAGCTATAAGATCTGCTTGTGTTTGTCTGTATGCCTATATGTTTATATGTGTTACGTGTATGTAGTATTTCACTACCAAAATATATGAAAGAGCTCTAATTAATTGGCTTAAAGAAAAAGTAAACACTTAAATATTTTGTCAGAAAAGTAGAAACTAACTCAAATGCCTTTTAGTTTACATGACTTTGTTAAATATTTGGTAAATAGAACGAGTTTGTTGGATTAATGAAAGCATCTGTGTCTTCTGATCAGCAAAACACCCATGTATTTAACTTTAGAGTTTTTGCTTAGGTGGTGACTGTCTAACATTCATAGGCTGTAGGAATGATTAACAATGAAATAACTTGAGATGATGGCTAGCTTTGTTTAATGAACTATTTAAGCAGGATTGTTAAGAATGAATAAATTAAATGAATGTAAGTGGGATAAAAGTTTATAAACAAACTTTTTGTGGTTTCAAAAATATTTTTTAGTAACTTAAATCATGTTAAGTAATAATTATAAAATGTCTGTGTCATTTATATGGCATAGAAAATCTAAACATATATTGTGTATATATATATTTTTGTGAGTGTGTGTGTGTATATGTGTATATATGTATATATATTTAGTTTTTGAGACAGAATCTTGCTTTGTCACCTAAGCTAAAGTACAATGGTACAATCATAGCTCACTGCAACCTTGAAATCCTGGGCTCAAGTGATCCTCCTGCCTTATCCTCCTGAGTAGGTGGGACTACAGATGTAGCCACACACCCAGTTAATTTATTAAAATTATTTTTTGTAGAGAAGGGGTCTCACTATGTTGCCCAGCCTGGTCTCAAACTCCTGGCCTCAAACAATCCTTTTGCCTCAACCTCCCAAAATGCTGGGATCACAGGTGTGAGCCACTGTGCCTGGCCAAAAAAGCTAAATATATTTAGATCTGTTAATAAGGAAAAATTGAGAAAACATTTTTCTAAAAATTATGAAATCAGGGTGATTGATGGGCAGGGAAAAAATTAGGAAATCATTTTTATAAATACTGGTATAAAACAATGCAAAATTACTTGAATCATAGGTTTTTCACTGGAAATTAGGGTTACTTATAGTTAAAATTGTAGTTAATATAGTTACTGAAAGTTTGGTACTTGTCCCCCCAGCTGAACAAAGAACGAGGACAAGTGGTTTAAGGAGAAGGAAAGAGAAGTTTATTAATTTGCTGGCAAATGAGTAAGGTGGCAGATTCTCATCTTAGGAAGAAAACCATCATCCTATCTGTAAGCAGAAAGACAGAGATTTTAAAGGGATTTTTCAGCTTTGGGCTATTCCTGTTTAACTATAGCATTTCCAGTACCCAGACAATTCCAGTGAGCCATCTCCTGTGGTACAAAGAACAAAGGACACTCCCCTGCCCCTCTGATTACTGGCCTTGGGCAGGGATGCAGGTTTTACTTCCCAAAAAGAGTGGGGGGGGGGCATTTAAAGAGACAACTCATAAAATATTTTACCCTTTTTCAGGCCATTCCCTCTGTTACATATTCCCCACTGTCAATTTCACCCTTCCATATCTATGGGAGGAGGGGTGATACAGTCATTGAGCTACTTCCTGCTGAATTGGGGGATGTTTTAGATGGAAGGTTTATACTTATTTATGCCATTGCAAAGCTTTGGCAGTAGATTTACAAAAATAAAGAATGCAGCAGATTACCAAGTGAAAAGGGGCATAAGCAACAACTGCAACCGTGAGGACTGACAGGTGAAATGGAGGACACCTGATAAGAGAGATTTTACCTTGCTTGGTATCTAAGATACCAGTAGGACTGTGGGTCCTTACTGTCGCATTGTATATAATGTCTGATGCAGGGCTGGGCAAGAAAGAAACATGGGACCTCTGAGTATGGAGCTATTAGTGGCTCCTATACGTAATCTGAGAGACTGCCTTCTGTAAATTCAGAGTGTAGGAAGGTAAATTATATATAGGAGTATGACAAACCCAGCAGCGAGACAGATTAGCAGAAGAGGAAATCTTCACTAAGGAGCTGTCTCCATCCTATCAACAGAACAAATAATGAAAGAAAGAATAGCAAAAAGATATAAGGATTTTCATTTTTCCTTCTTAAACAGATACTTCAGATTGCCCAAAGACTGGCCTATCCACTGGAGGCGTGGGTCCTCTTCTTCCATGTGATACCTCTTTACTCTGGCGTGATGACCTAAGGTTTTTACCGCTGACAATTTCAATAAGGTGTAAGTTCTTAGGGGTACTTTATAGGGTCCTTTCCACTTCTCTGCCAGTGGTTGTTTGGGTACTTGTTCTTTCTAGGCTTTAAGTAATACCTGGTCTCCAGGTTTAAAGAGGCGGAGGGATGTCTCCAACTGTGGCAAGGACCTGAAAGAGACCAACTCATGCATAATGGTTAGCATCTGACCCGCTCATTTGACATATTGCTTTACTCTGCTTTCTTTTACTCATGGTTATATTACCACACTTACCTTGGAGTGCTAGGAAGGGTCGCTCATAAACTATTTCACAGGGGCTTAACTTAAGCCTGCTTCTAGGGGTTACTCTTATCCAGAGGAGGCCAAGCGGCAACACCTTATCCCACTTTGGATGGGTTTCATGCAATTTCTACTCTAAACGTAGGGCTTTGCTTACTTACTGAGTTACCTGCAATATAAAGGACAGTCCATTATCACTCTATATGGAGGAAGGGAACCCATACCTTGGAATGAGTTCCTTTAGAAGAATTCTGGTAACTTCAGATGCTTTCTCTATTCGGCTAGGCTAATTCTCTACCCAGCCTGAAAAATGTATTTATTAATACAAGTTCAGGGATCTGAGTGAAATCAATTTGCCAGTCATTGAAAGGGTGGGTCCCCACACGTTGGACTCCCTGTGCAGCAGGTTGCTTTTCAGTCTTTGGATTATTTTGAGCACAGGAATACTTCGTTGCAAATTAGGTCCTCTTAAATGAGGTCCCACCAAATCCATTAAGGCATCACACCCATAACATGTGATGGTTACGTAGGTGCCTCTTAAGAAGCTGAACAAAGGCTTCGGGTAGAGAATGAGTCCATGAGAATTGTCTCCACTTAGCTGTGCCATCCCAAATGTCAGAGCCTCAGTCTTTAGTTTTAAAGGGGGTTTATATTGATCTAAATCTAGCTGGGGTATCAAGGCCCCGAGGAACAGATCACCTTTACTGGCCACCTTAGCAGTTCTGCCAGGGGCCTGATTTCTTTCTGCAACATAAATGTCTCCCTTTTTTGGTGGCCAGGACAGTGCATTATGGCCATGTGCTTAGGCTCAGCCACAGCCTGTATCAGGGCCATTATTTCAGTGGCACACTTAATATCTTTATATCCTGTCATGAGGAGCCCCCTTTTCTTCCAAAGGGCACCATGAGCATGCACAACCGTAAAAGCACATTTAGAGATCCTTTCTCTAAAAAAACGAAAACACAAAAAACGCCCCCAAAACAAAAAAAAAGTTTCCAGGGGAGTATTTCTGATCAAAAGCCAGGGGTGGGGGACGGGGGTGTGGTAATAAGAAAAGAAAACTAGCTCAGAACAGCTTGAGCTATGCAAAATTTAGCAAGCCCAGAGAGACAGGAGTATGGCAATTCAGTCATGCCCTTCAGACCCATAGTGGGGGGGGGGCAATTGTTCAAAGACATTTTGTTCCTTACTAGCTGCCTCACCCATTATGTGTTCTTGGAGTTTGTGATACAAAAAACAATATATAGGCAATCAATAGCTTATGTTGTTTTAATGTAAATTCTTGGTAAACAACTTAGGAACTGCCTCTTCTTTTTTCCTTTAAAAATCTGGCTTGTAACTCTGCTAAACAGAGCATATTAAGGGCAACTTGAATCTATGCCCCTGGGTTGCAGTCCTCAAGCTTGGCCCAAATAAACTCTCTACTTACGTAAGTTTTGCCTCACTTTTTTCTTCTAGGTTGACAATATTGCATTGTGTTTAATGCTAACAACAATTGTATGAAGTAGGTGATATTTATCATTGGCCATACTTTATAACTTGAAAGAGAAATTGATTAACATGCCCAACCCACACAGTTTGTAAGCAGGAGAACCATTATTTGAATGCAGGCAGTCTGATTCCAGAGATCCAGCTCTTTCTATTGTTTCCTGAACCATGAATCTTTGGTTTTTAAAAAAATTTCACTTGTCTTTTTACACTTTATGCGAATGGAGAACCAGAGGAAGAGGTGGGCTGCAGATCCCGCCCAGAAACACTCAAAAATAAATACTTCCCTTAACGCAAATTAGCAGCCATCCCGAAACACCCCGCGTTACCTTTTAATCCAATCTCCTACGAGTAAGGGCGGGACTCCATCGGCCGTGGGAGCCCGCGCGGCCGCGCATGCTCAGAGCGAGGCGCCCGCCCCAGCCCACTCGGGCCGCAGGGGCTGCCGGGACGGCCCCCATCTTCTTAGAGCGCTTTAGGCCAGCCGGCGGCGCTTGGAAGTCCAGGCGTTGCTTGTAGTGAGCCTGTGGTGTGGCTCTGTGGGACCAGGAACTTAAAGGTGAGCAGCTCTCGGTGGCTAATGAGAACAGGGCACAAAGGGTCCTCTTTGCGTGGCAAGCGACGGTAAGTTCCCGTGCCTTGCTGCCTCACGCGGCGTGCGTCTGCCCCTCGCCTTCGTCACGTTCGGGCCGCGCGCCGCGTGGGCCGCAGCCGGAGGCGGCGCGCTGGGCTAGGAGCTGAGGGGGCGCGGGCCGCTGCGAGGCTGCCCCTGAGGGGAGTGCGGGAGCCGGTGGTTGCCCGCACGTGGCCGGGGCCTAGGCGAACCCCTGGCTGCTTCGGGACGCGGCTCTGGCGGGGTCTTTGGGTAGAGGCTACCCCCCATCCCTTTGCATCCGTTCGGTTTCCTACCTCCACCGCTTTCCAGTCTCGCTGAAGGCAGAGGTTTCTGCCCATGTCTTTTAAGTTTCTGGGAAGGTCGGCACGGGATAAACGCCAGAGGGTTTCCGTGGACCCTATGGGACTCACGGGAGGCCAAAAAACTTGGGACCGCAGGTGTACCCATGTCTTGTCACTGCCTTGGGTTTTTAGGGTCCTCATTCACTCACATCAAGCTTCTTTGTGAAACGGGAAAGCGTGGGTAATATTTCACTTCTTGTTGTACATTCTGGAAAAGTATTTGATGGAACAAAGTTCCAAAATTGGGTAGGCGAGACACATCTTGCAAGATCAACACAGTTCTTTTATCTCATCGTTTGCTTTGTAATGAGCCCTAGGTCACGGTAGTAATTTAGAAGTGTAGATTGTCATAGATAAACCAATGCAGAGACTGAATAAATTCTGTGGTGGGATGTACACCACGCAGATCCCTATTGCAAGAGCTTCCCATGCATATCCAGTTACTGAATAGCAATTACAGCGATGCCTTCAAGAAGTGTACCTACAATAAATGGTTTATCACGGGAGTCAACTAATGGCAAATATTCCCGAGGGGTTTATTTATACAACTTGTGTACAATAGGAATAACTGGGTGGTTCAGGCGCGCACAGGAGGCAAGTAATTTGAACAGTACAGCCCCTTTTTTCCCCCTGCAGTGTTAATGTCAGGGATATGAAACAGAAAACTGGCTATCCAACCTGTTAGTACGTTAGGAGGCATACCCCCTAGTTTAATGTTGTGTAAGTGCCTTCATGCTGTCAAATTGTCGTTTTTGTATGTTCCTTAACAGACAGTATCTAACCTAAACACAACAACTGTTTGGATTTTTTTCATCTTAAAGTTACGATACCAAACTTGATAAGTTTTTGGTAGGTCAGCTGTGACTAATTTGAAAAGAAATGGACCCACACCAGGCAAATAGCACAGGCAGCCATGGTAATAATACTGACAGGTAGTGATCTGTTTGAAGCTAGAAATGTTAAGATTGAGTGGAGTTTTTCCCTAAAGATTGCTTGACCAGCTAAATGAAGATAACCAGTTGCTTTGTTATAGAAGATGGGGCAGTGATTTACTGAAAAGGGGGCAGATTATTGATAGTTTTTCAATTTTTCATCACTTATTCCGAAGTTTTGCTCTGTTGAAATATTTGAGAATTGAGAAACCCAACCTGTGAAATTAGAAATTCTTGATTTTTAAGAAAACAATGGATATTAATGATTTTTATACATTCTCTTTCTGGTATTGAGTTTTATGTTTAAAAAAGCCTTAACCTCTTTATGCTATTTTGGGAAAATTTACAGATAGCCACAATGGCTGAAAATGGTGATAATGAAAAAATGGCTGCTCTGGAGGCCAAGATCTGTCATCAAATTGAGGTATGCTTTTTGTGCTATCAGCTACAAAAACAAGTTCCTTGAAAAGAGATTTAGAGCCTTAAAACAAATACAGAAAGAACATTTAATTTCAGTATATGGGCCTATTCAATTTTTGGCTTGTCTTTGATTCTTAGAAGAACCAAAGTTTTATGTTGGTGGAGCCAGGCTGTGAAACCTAAGAGTTACAAACATTTGAAAAGGTTATCTTTTATTTTAGTTTCCTAGCCTACATAAAATGAGATTGATATTATTATCCTCTTCATAAAGTGGTTTCGGGGATTAAGTTAGTTAAAGTGCAAAACACTTTACAAGTATGCTTGGCACATAAAATAACATCAAAATTCTTGGTAAAGTAACTTCCTTGTTAAATAACACTGTGTTCTTAAAGATCTTAGTAGTTTTTTCTGCCCAGTTAGTTCTCAGCTATTATCTGTTTTCAAAGTCATCTTAGCATTTTTTCAAATTTAGTTATTATGTTTAGGTTAAAGCTTTACAGTATCAGCAATGGCTGTATGGGAAATTATTCCTAAATTTATGTTCTTATTTGAGGAACTCCTCAGATCAAATTATTTGATGTGGGTTTTTTGGCAACTCTCAGAACTATTTTTTTCAAAAAGCTGTACCTCTCTGCCATATAAAATTTCCTGTGTTACCGTTTCGTGGTATTAATTTCTTTTTGATTGTGGAGAAAATTACAAATTATTCATTCTGTGCTTAATGCTTAGAACAATACAAAGATGTATATAGAAAAGGTTATTAATGTCCCTCCCAAAACCTGCCACCTCAAATCCTACCCTCCTGAGATTATCAAGCTTAAAAGCCTTTCACACTTTGCTTCATGTTCACATTAATGTAATATTTTTGAATGGACTTTATTTTTTAGAGCAGTTTTAGGTTCACAGCAAAATTGGGCAGAAGGTATGGCGATTTTCCATATATCCCTACCTCCACACATCCATAGTGTCCCCATTTATAAACATCCCCCACCATATTGGTACACTTAACAATTTTTATTTCCTTCCCTTTCCCCCACCAAACATGGGATGCATTTTTGGGGAGTAAAGTTATATGTCATCAATCATTTATCCATTCCCCTCTTTAATATGTAGCTCTTTCTAATTTTTTAGCTGTAATAGTTCTGTGATGAATATTCTTATATATAAATCTTAGTAAACATATTTATTGATTTCTTCTAGATAAAATTCCTAGAAGGAACCGTCCTGGATCAAGGATTATGAACACTTTTTAAAACTTTTGATACTTACTGCCAGTTTACATATCTTCCTGCCTGACCATTTC